AGAGTGGTATTGGTTGGTTCAAATGTGAATAAATTATATCAAATGGAAATACAATCAATGTTGTCTGAGAAAGAAAGAAACGGTGGTTTTGGATCAACAGGACATTAACAACTTGTAATTTTTTTATTTTTATTTTTTTTAGATGACTAATAAAAAATTAGAAGTTGTCGAATTGATAAAAGATGAAATTGAATTTGATGGTGCCAAGCCAAAAGACAATTTAATAAAAATAAAAAATGAAATTAAAGTTGATGGTGACAAGTCAATAGAATTAAAAGAATTGCGATTTCAATTGGAAAATTTAAAAATGAGAGTATTAAATCTTGAAGCTCCTGTTAAATTAGAAGATGGTTAAAAAATATTTATTCTTACTGATATGGAACAAATAATAAAAAACTCACCATACAGTTTTTTTACTTCACCATTTTATTATAAAAATTATAAATTTACATTACGTATTCATTTGTTTAATGAATTTGTTTGTGGTCATCAAAATCATAATCACAAAAATCAAATGTCAATATTTGTATACATGCAGTCGCATATGTTTGATGCTATTCTTAAATGGCCGTTTAGTGGAAGAAAAATAACTTTATCTTTACTTGGTAAAAACGACAAGTACAAAAAAACTACTATCACAAAAGATCAAGCCTATTTTCAACGACCGCATTGGTTCCAATCTAATGAAGGACTTGGTTTTGGCAATTTTATTGAAAAAGAAAATTTAATTCAAAATTATATTGTTGAAGACACTCTTTTTATTAAATGTAAAATTGAATATTATTTTTTTCATTTGTTTTTTTTTAAATGCTTGTATTTTTTTAGCAATTAAACTAATAAAAAATGACAATATGGAGTGTATGGAATAAGATAGGATCAGAAGATAAAGCGTTAGAACAGCAATGTTATAAGTTGATTGATTTTTTAAAAGATCAAAATACTGAATATCGTTTTGAGGAAGTGTCGTGCATAACAGAATAAGTGTATAAAAAATTATCAGAAGATTCAAAAGATTATAAATTTGATAAAAAGAAAGTGAATCTTTACCTAAAAACGTGTTCAAAATTAATTACTAAATGTAATAAAGGAATTGATCGATTAGAAGAAGAAGTAAAAAGAGAAAAAAATTTAAAAGAAAAAGAAACGAAGCGTTTATTGATTTTGCAACAAAAAAGGTGAATAGTGCTATTGCGAAGCATAAAAAACAAAAATTAGAAACATATGTCAAAGAATTTATTTTTCTAACTAAAACTGAAATACGTTTAAATTTAAAAAAAGATATACGAAGTCGTTTTTTTTAATTGTTTGCAAAAATTAAAAGTGTATTAATTTGGTGTTGATTATTTTTTAATATGATTTTTATTGTAATTTTTTTTTTAAAAAAATTAAAAAATGTATAATTGGGTAAGAAATGGTTTTTGACCATTGACACCGTTTACAAAAGATGAATTAAATTCTTTGATTTCTGTGAACGAAACTACTATCTCGTTGCAACCAAATGAAGAGATAATAAAGAAAAAACAAGATAAAGACGAGAATTGCAATGTAAAATTTCAATGTGCTAGTTTTGATTCCAATAATGAATTTACTGTAGATATTGATTTAAAAAAATTGCCAGAAGTTAGCAAAACAGATGAAAAACTATCAGAAGTTAGCGATTCGGATGATAGTGAAACAGATGATGATAGCAAAACAGAATATGAATTATTAAGTTCTTTGGAAAAGATTCAGTTTGATAAAAATATTATGATTAAAAATGTTTTTGCTAAAAAGTTTCCCGATTTATATATGTTATTAAAAACAACTGAACACGATACCCAGCAAACATGTCAGCGTTGAATCAACGTTGAAAACCGGTCGCAAAAGATGTTGCGGAAACGTTGACAAAGTAATCGATTTTGCAAAGATATGTGACGTTGTTAAAGAGACGTTCATTAAACGTTGTAGCGTAACGATGAAAAAACGTTACTATAAGACGTTACAAAAATGTCTCAATTGATCGTTGAAAAAGCGTTACTTAAAAAGCGTTGCATAGGCGCCGCAACTTAACGTTGAAAAAACGTTACTTGAAAAGCGTTACTTTAACGTTGTTAAAGCAGTTGATTTTGCAAGGATTTGTAACGTTGGTAGTAAAACGTCGATTAAACGTGACTCAAAGACGTCGAGTAAAGGTTGAAATATAACGTTAAATTAACGCTCAAATGCGCTGGAGAAAATATCGCAAAATATTACTAAACGCGATTAAACTTGGTTATAATGTATATAGAGTTTGCAAATAAAACAAAATTGTATGTTGAACTCTGCACTTGCAATATTTCCAAAGTCGATTTTTATACAAATAGTAATATACAATGAAAAACATAAAAAATATACAATTTATTTATATAAAATTTACAATTTATAAATAAAAATAAAAACATCTTTTTTGAGATTTATGTGTGTGAGTGAATTTACAGGAATTATGTGTGTAAGTAAAATTTGTATGTGAGTGGATTTACAGGATATCGTATTGATAAGCCAGGATATCATTGAGATACAGAATCTAAATCAAAAAATAAAACTTGTATCATTATCAATCTGAAAGCAAATGTTAAAAAAATGTTATTGAATTAGTATGATTATTATTAATTTTAAAAAATAGAAATCAATATATATATAAATTATATATATATATAAATTATATATATATATATATTGTGATAGTCGTAATAGCATAAAACAAGTAATTGTTTTTAAAAATAACACAACGTTTTTTATTTTTGAAATGTTTTGTAGTAAATAACTGGGGTTGATATTTGACTGGGGCCGGGGCCGGGTTTGATAAAATATAGCCGGGGCCAGGGCCGGGTATGAGACCAGTCTGCATAAACATTTATACATCCTAAAGTATATTTTTTAAATTTAAATTCATGCTATATTTTGTATATATATGCATATATGAACATCATTGTGATCAACATGATCATCATAATCATCATAATCATCATCATCATCATCATAATCATCATGATCATCAACAGTATAAAAGCGGAAAGCTTGACAATGATAAAAAAAATTATGTTGATGTTGTTGATCGTCATCATGATAATCATCATCATCTTTATTATGGCACTATGTAAAGCACACTCTTCAAATTTTCTTACATCTACCACAATCATTTTATACTGAAGCCACTCTACATGTTAATACCTGAATTACTTTAACTTTTTCTAAAAAATACTACACTATATAAATACTAAAGTTTATACAACAATGAAAGGATATTGTATGCCAGCATTTAAACAAATAGCAAACAAATATGCTTATATCCATAATATGTGTGCAAAAAGTGCATCTTGGAAGCTTATTTTGCTTCTGCAATAAAAGTTTGGAATCTTTTATTACTTCTCTTCAGTTTTAAATCAAGCCTCATTCTACTCTACATCTTTCAACATTTACTATGTTTTTTGAGTTTTTTTATAAGAACATCTCTCTTAAGAAAAAATTGTCCCTATTATTATTGCAATATGCTAATGTATAAATAAAGTCTTGTCTTATGTAAATTTTTGTTATTCTCAGTTTACTAAACCTTATATCTTATCTTAGATGTTGATTCTAGAGACTTTTTGTTAGTTTTCAACAGTGTTATTAACTAAAGTAAGTCTGACGTTTAATCTCTATCTTATGGGTCTCATCTTTTTACTTTACCCCAGAGTAAAACAGAGCTATTTACAAGGAAATCTATATATTTATATATAGTATGGCCGTTATATTTATGGAATATAACGGCCATACTCTTCCTGACAGTAAAATATTTTTGCTAAACTTTTAATTAATCCATTGTTAAACATCGAAATTACTCTAGCTTCCAATACTAAAACTAATTCTCAATTAAACACATCTACAATGCGTGCTTCAGACAAGATTTCCATCATAGTCTTTAAAAAGTGTTCTCCAGAACTATATACAACTTTTGCTAAACTTTAAAAAAGTGCTAAATACGTGGTTCCTATTTTTCAAATCTCTAGAAAACACTTTGACCTCTCCAAGTATCCTACGATTCTTCTTCACTTTGTCAGTAGTTTCTTATAATTTTCAATGAAAAGGTTTTGAGGTAATTAAATTACTTCTTTCTAACAGCAGTAGTGAAGTTATTCTCAAAGGCTTACCCTCTTTACTTCAAGTAAATTTAAAATTCAATATTTGTTCCTGTAATATTTTTTATCCACATTAACAATCATAATGAAATCTAAAGTGGTTCTATTTGCTGATGCCTCCACTTTTTACTTTTGTGTGACAATAAATCTTTACTTTTTACCCAGTAAGCACAAAAGGCATTTTAGACACTTATAGACGACTAAAACTAGTCTAGGTAAAGACGCACTTTTGTAGACGTTTTGAAGACATCTTTTAGACGTCTTTCATAATTGCGTTTTTAAAATGACGTTCAATAGGCTTTTAAAATGACGTTCAAAAATTAGCTAGCGATACGTATGCTAAATTTTTTAATAACTAAAGGTAAGTTATAAATGATTAAATACTGTTTTGATATATAATTGGTATTGTTATTTATTATTTTCATCTTTGCAGCATCAACCGTTGGTGGTGATAGCTATATATTATTAAAATTCTGGTTCCTATGTATATTTTGTATATACGAATTTATAACAATATATGACGTATAAATACAATGAATATATACCACATACTACGCGAAAATGTTACGTCATGTACTTAAATTCATCTTAAAATAAACGTCTAAAATACGTCTAAAACGCGTTTTTATAAAAACGTCTTTATTTGGACGTCTTTTAGCTTTATGATCTAGACGTCTACAAGAAGGCTTTTAAGAAATCCTTAAAGACATCTTTAAAACGTCTTTTAAACGTCTTTGTGCCTACTGGGTAAGTGCTTAGAACAAGCAGCAAAGATTAAATCTGATCTCTCTTCTGTAATAACGTAAGGCTTGCTGTGTCTTATGGATTTAAATTCTGGACTCAAAATCCACAATTTTTGTTAGA